TTTCCCGTCTTGAAATGGGCCATTTCCAGCCCAGATGGGCCCTTCGCGGACACGAAACGATTTTCTTCTGAGTCTGAGATGGCCCTTCCCGGGACCAGACATGGACGCTCTACGCTTTCTTTGGTAACGTAATAAACACAACGCACGACATGCTGGCTTTGGTGCAGGTAGTCGATTGTCCGGTCGATTATCCACAGTGATGCGCCCCATCTTAAGTATAAATGTGGCCGTGAACATTTGGAGGTTCGCTGGCTCGCTCGCGTGGACGTGGTGTTTGAGGTTACCTTATTACCCCCCGGCATACTGAGGATTAAGTTCAACATAGCAACTCACAACTCACATCGCATAACGCCGAAACATGAAAAATGTGAAGTCTTTCTAGATAATTAGATCATCTTTCAGTTACTATTATCTTATACCTTAGATTAGCAAACAAACTAACTTCTGGCTTCTTGTCTCCTACTTCCGTCACGTGCCGAAGCGTTGATCATGCTTATTTTTTAAGATGGACGACTCTGCTGACCGGTCCGTTCATCAGTCTCTGTCCCTTTGCCTCACCATCCTTAATCCTTCCTTTGTGCCTCTGCCTCACCAGCGTCTGTCCTTCCAGTTTTCGACATGTCCGTTGAGAAGGTCGTGCAAGCTCGGTGCAAATAAAAATCCGTAACCCTTCGTCTGTCCATGCTAGCCCATACCACTCTCTATGCAGCTGTGTTTTGCGCTTCAGACACCTTTGATGAACGAAAAACTACACCTGTTCTCATTGAGCACAACCGCCCGAGTTACTGAAGCGTTTTTGTGTGTGAATTACACCCCAGTGTAAACTTTTTACAAAATGCAGCTCCACATCGGCTTGAAATGGGATCTCATTCATTCAGCAAAACAATTTTCGAATCGAAGTTTTTGACATTGGGGACGCAAATGAGAGTGACTGAAGTCGGGGGGGGGGGGGAAATTAGGTTTCGGAAGTAGGTTAGCTCAACTCTATCGACTCAGTCCCTCCCTCCCAGCCAACTGATTTTGGGAAGCCAAACACCTGCGTGCACCGTGCAGCATGACTTCGCAAAAATAGTCTTACCCTCCTTTCACTCCAATATACCACACAGCTTCTCGATGCTGCGACGCTTGTATGGCTTCAAGCAAAAACTAGCAAGTGATTGTCAGGACCAAACAACACCTGACAATGACCAGAGAATTAGCTGCCCGAAACGCTGTGTATCTGCATACTAACATTCAAGACGAGAAAGTTTTATTTGTCTTACGAGTCTCATAACCTATGCACCAAGTCTTTTTATTTTACGTTGTCATCGTATTTTTGAGTTATCACATTTTGGAACTAAGTAAAACAAACAAACCAGAACGAGATCTGAAAAATCTTCTTTTCGTAATGCTTACACTTCGACACGATGACTGCAGAATCCTGATGATGTTTTATAACAGCGTGCAGTTTTTGAGGACAGCAAAAGTTGGTTTGGACTCACAAAGAACAAAGAACACATAAATGTACGCTAAATTCGGCTACGGCTTTGGACTTGTGGCTTTCAACTGATATGTTTGGTTTTTTATTCCCAATTCCTAAATTCAAAGCTGCTGACCTCAGCTCCGGCCTCACAGGTAAAGAGTCAAAGGCCAATGGCCTCAACTTCGGCTTTATTCTTTGAAATACAAGAGGCCGCTGGTGTCGGCTTCGGTTTTCACAAAAAGAAGCGGGCGTTACAGTTCTGCGCTTCGCGGCTGCATGCTTCACCTCTCTCCAACCGGCGACTGCCGCAGGTCGACGACCTGACGCAGAAAAAGAATCTACAGTCGTCGGGAGCGTCATTACGAACATACGAGTAATCTACGAGAGCTCGCTCATTGGCGTGCATACATGCATCCATGTAAACAGAGGTACACAAACCCACCTACTCGCCCACAATGTAAGCAGAAGAAACAGCATGTGGAATCCTGTCCTTGTATGACAGCGTTTTTATTTCTACTCATCACCTTAAAAGGGACATTCCATGAATTTAGAGGTAACGTACCTTACAGCATGTCAGTAAAACCCGTGATTCATTTTAGTTGCGACAACCCATTCCCACTGCTGAGTATCAGCTGTCAACTGATGGATTGTCTCATGGATGTAGCTGTCCTCGGCCTTCCTCCCACCCCAGCCGCCCAAACAAGACAGCCCCATTTGATTTGCATTGGCTTACAAGACAGGTCCGTAGGCAGCGTGAACGAAGCGATGTAGCGAATTTGGGTTCATCATTCGGTGTGGGTTTGGTGCAGCCACCATCGGCAGAACATGGAACACATTAAAACGACAAGTGCTGGAGCATCGTGGCTTGGAATACCTTACCGAACTTCCGTTACTGACATTACGAAAATAAAAGTCTCGCAGTGTCAGGCCGCCAACCAGCCATCTGTGAACCTCTGCATGACTCATTTTACCCGAAATGTTAATAAATCGCAAAATACGAAGACGTATGACATTCAAGTATATTTGATTAGAAATCAAGGAATTAGCGGGCTCGTTATTGTTTGAGGCAGGGTACGCTGAGAGTCTTAAGATCCCCGATGCTAAATGAAAACGCCGTGGATGGCTCTCCGTCGGCGAAGAGAGACAAGGGTCCGGCCGGATGCCGGTGAAACACCGCCTCAAACAATTTCCACGTGTGTGACATGGACCCGTCCAAGCGATCATGACGTCAGTGTTTGCGCCGAACAGCCAATAAGTGAGCTCTCATAGCTTCCTAATAATTAAAAAAATAATAGTACTGGCGGCGCCGCTTGTGACACTGCATGCAGGTGAGAAGCAATAGTTTTTTGTTCAAGAATCTTTGCCACCGAAGTGGCATCAGCTACGTTAAGCACTGCCTCAAACAAACCGCAAGATATGGTTAAAAGCTACAGCAAAAGTTCTGGAAAAAGTTTTGAGCAGTTCATGTCCAAGACTTTCGGCCCACATTTCATACAGCCTGCTGACTGCAACTTTCAAACTATATTTAATGTTTGATTAACGCCATATGTTGATCCGCCACTTTTACCACAAATGACATAGATACATATGTTAAAAGATAAAAAAACAAGCAAGAGGCACTACTATTCCAGTCGCCAATTGTACCTTTCTAGGCCTAATAGACCAACTCTACTTATCTTGCTCTTAAGGCCTATGTCTATTTTAACAAATGTTGCGTATTTCAAACACCAGTAACCGCGAGCCGTAATATCACGAGAGCGCGAGGCTAGGTCGACGTTTGGCACGCGGTTTTTCTTTCCTTTCATCGGTCATCGATATTGATTATAAGATATGGTTTGTACATAAACAAAAAGTGTAAGTGTACCTTACCCTCACAATAACAAGGAATGCGCAGTACGTAGCTGTGTTTGCATCAATGATCCATCGAACTAATCAATGAAAGGAGGTCAAGCTTTCGAAATCAGGATTGCCTTTTAATGCCTTTTCAGAGAGATGCTTGCTGGAAGTTGTTCAACTCGCCTAACCTGGTTTACTGGTGTGCTATGTCTGCTATGGTTTTATGGCACTGGGGCTCTTGCTATAAACATCAAAATGCTGTTTTTTATAATTGTATTGTCTGGTGGCACAATCAGGTTTTTGAATGGCTTAAAGCATAAGTAACAGTAAAAAATCATTAGTAGTAGTAAAATTCACATCATTTTGCTTGCCAAAATTTTTGACCCGCGAAAGCCCGTGACGGGTCAGGTTTTGCTGGCGCACGGAAAAGTTGCACCTCTAGTTGAGACCACCGAGGTATTACCGCACTTGCTGAGGGATAGCCTCGGTCGTATGGGGTGAATAACGTGCTGTATTGTCCGGTGCTGTCAGAGGGAAGGGCGAGGGCGTGAAGAGTAGTGTTGAGGGAATTCGTGAGCTGTTCAGAGTATTGATCGAACGATGAAACGCGGGCGTACTGTAGTGTACAACCCTTGGCGATCTCAAAAGGCACCCATAGTGCTGACTGTTGACTATGAGGTGCGGGATTTTGTGATGGGATACGTGTTTCTATTGGTGAAGCTCCGCATTAGCGACTAATCATCGCTTACTTAGCCATTACGTTAGCCTGATGTCAGTAAACTTTATCGTGGTCTGTGCAAACACACCTGGCAAAAACGCGCATGGTGCGGCGTCGCAGAGCCACAGCACGCTGACCCAGATGGTTCCACCAGGGTGCGTGTCTGTCCCCGGGTCGACGAGAGGAGTGTGGAGCAGACTGATGTTCAGACGCCAAGAGGCTATTCATAAATCCAACGAGATTATGAGTTGAGCCTGGAGGGTGAGCCTCATCTGAAAATTTTAAATTAAATCCAGGCAACTTTGCAGCGGTTCCATCGAGGGAGGAAATGAAAATCCACCTGTCCTGAAGGAACTTTTAGTCCAATATGGATTGGATAAGGTCGAAGACTGGCGGATCCGTTTGTGCGTGGTGTGTGGAGTGTGGCACGATGTGTGGTGCTGAGAGGGCCAGGTCAATTACGGACTAGCCGACAGCTTTCCTCGGTGTTGTGGATGCGCAGGCGTTCTCATTACTAAAAAATGCGAGGTCATAAGCATGCAAGCATGTGGAGTCTGTGTGAATTGACACACCCACGCTCGCTGGTGGACATTACGTTAGCCTAAGAGGAGGCAAGGGGAGGGGATTTGAAAGAAGAGGTCGGAGAGCTGTGCGGGAGTGAGGGTAATAGATAATGATATGCGGGTGATAGACACATAAGGAGGCACGAGGCTGAGGCCTAGCTGTGCGATCTTGACATAAATGGCGGCAAGATTAAGAGTATCATACTAGCGCACTTGATGATGCAGCAAATGACCGGGCAGATACAGCGCCGCGCCTCCACGACCGGGTGTACCATTTTCGCTGTCAGAAGAAACCGGCTCAGTCAATGCCAGGGCAGGTGGGCGGGTGTGGGCAACGCGCGGTGTGCGCATGCGCAGCGGTGACGTCATCAGCCCGCAACAGGTCGCCGACGGCGGCGAGCGGCGGCGCGCGGCCGGGCGGTGGCGGCTCTCGAGTGTTGGCCAGCTGGCGCGCGCGAGCCCCCGCCGAGTGTGCGTCGTGTGCGGCTGACCTGTGCCCTGACCCGACGCGAGCCGGCAGCATGCCTGAGGCTGGACACACCAATGTGGATCCGCCGCCGCCGGCGGGAGGCAGCGGCATCCGCTTTAATGCCGAGCACTTTAAGACGACGCCCGGCATCATCAAGATCGTCGAAGTGGTGAGTCGCGCGCGCGGCCGGAGCTGTGAAGACAGACAGCGACATGATCAGTTCCGACTATTGCAGCGTAGTAATAGTGGGTTAGAGTCGTTTGTTGGGCGATAAATGATCTGTCTGTGAAGGGCTGGGGGCCGCAAGGCGAGGCGTGATAATTCTTGAGCGTCGCAAGCTGCATCTGACTCCGCCAGAGTTATTTATATCATCTGCACCAAAGCTTGTCTCGGCATGTGAATAGCTGAATTTGAAATTTAAAAATAAAGTAAAAAAACATCAAAGTTTGCCCGGCCGTCGTCTGCGAGGACATAAGCCATTCACATTTTTTCACTGTCCCCTGCGCGGCAAGTCCAGTGGTTCAGGTTGGAGTGTGGATAGAGAGGCACGGCGACGCAATTTCGAGGCGGTGGAACGCTGGCATTCCCTCGCGAGCTGACCATCGAGGCGGTCGATTGGTTTGCGGGCCGCGGGAGGAGGCGGTGACTCGTGTTATCGTGGCCTATTCTCGACAAAACCGTTACCCAGACTCCCAGCCCGGTGCTGAGCTGCCCGACAACGAGGACCGACCTGTCACTCAGTCAAGATCCAGTCAAATAAAAAAAGGGACGCAGACATGCTCTCAACATTGAACCACCACCAGAGCGCAGAGCCACTCCAACCGAGAAACGCCTGCAAATGTCACGATGGTCCTGTACCCCTGTGTTGTACCCTTGACGTGACCTACTGGTCAGCACGATTTTGCGCGTCCTCCACGCCCACGCCCCGGTCGCCACCACGCGCAAGCTACAGCCGCGTCCTGTCCGTCCGCGTGCGTGCGGCATGGTTCATAGGATGTATTCTAAGGCACGTTTTGTAGGCCAAAACAGGTCGAGTATTGACGCAGTCCCATTCTTGAGGGTGTCCTATTTCTGAGCCACCGCATACGTCTTACGGCCTCGTTTGCCGGGCGGGTGTGGGGAGGGGGAGGAAGGGGGAGGGGGCGTGGGCTGACTGCGTGCGGGCTAGCCAGCGCCTCTCCGCGGTGCGGGCGGCGAGGGGCGGTGGAGCACTTTCACCAGCCTGCCATGGGCGGCGCCGCGACAGGCGGGGTCACTGACCCCAGGCCTATCGGCAGACCTCCACCAGGTTACAGCCTTCACCGCCTCTGGAAACGGGTAGCAGCTGGTGTCGAGGACGCGGCCCGGCATGTTTGGGCGGTCGTTGCGGGCGGTGAAACGGCACGGGTGCGACTGTGTGCACCAGATGGCAGTGGCAGCCCGCCCGCCTCGACAGTGTGCGCCCACGGGAGCCGTGCAGACTCACAATGCCACATCTGCTAGCTTCTGCAGTCAAGAGCGAATCCACTACCGGATCTGGGCATGATGCACGATTCGTTTGAGGTGGCGGGAAGGGGTAGAAGAAAGGAATATCTCTGACTATAGAGCCAATTCCACCAAAATCGACCTAAACTGGTGCAGATGTAGCCGTTTTCTTTGCGGAACTAGTGACCAGCTGGCTGCCCTTGGACGCGCACTTGTCCGCTGGGTCGTCTACTGCAGGCTATCAGCAACAGCTGATGTGAATCTGGCAATCCTCCAACGGCGTTGGACTCTTCACTTCGGGCTCCTCATTCCCCGCTGGAGCACGGAGCACTGAGCCGCGTGCTCCGGCGGGAGGCAAGCCCCGCGCGCCGCTGGCGGCAGGTCGCCGAGCCGCCCGCGCTCGACGGAGCCTACTGGCCCAGATCTGCGCGGCTGCAGCCTGCCGAAGGTGGCCGTGCAGCCAGAGCCCGCCGGGCGCCGGCGGCTGGGTAACGGCGGCTGCCGGGCTCGGTTCAGGCCAGGTGGCCGCTGTTGAGCTTCCACACTGCGCTGCTGTTGGGGCAGGTCCACTCCTCTCGTCAGTCGCTGGATCATAACTCCGAGTTAGTTAACAGTCACGTGAGCAGTGTGGGACTCGGATCGTTTGGGTGCTATGGAGCGGGTCGGGTCATGGCTCATTTTGCGCTCAAGAGGGATTTATGCGGAAGCAACGGTCCCAGGGCCCATTGCTTACCCGCAATTTTAGAAAGTTTCACGTATGGACTGGCAGGCGGAGTGCAGGGTGCGCTCAGGTTCCTCCGTGACGCCGGTGGGGGTTCGGGTCGGCGGGGTCACTCGCGGCCCTGTGGCTGGTATGGAGGATACTGTGGAGACGGGTTTGGAGACGAGGTAAGCGATGGGCCAGGCATCCGGCCTCTGACCCGCCCGGTCGCTCGGCAGGCCTAGCCGCAGGTCCCGCACCACCTGTGCAGCTGGCAGCAGAACGCGTACTTGGGCCAGACATCCATGTGGCGCGGGCCGGTGGTGATCAGATGTGTCTTGCGGGGCGTGACCTGTGACCTGACCTCTGGGAGTCGTCACCCGGCCAGTGACCGACCCGGGCTGATTGTCGAGTAGGCATGTCTGGTAACTCATTATAATGTTAGACGCTCGGTGGCATTGCTTTCAGGTCCCAGCACGCTGCAATAACAAGGTAATACACCGCCATCCATCACCCAAGGGCACAGAGGGCTCCACCCTTCATATTTTGTAACATTTCCGGGGTGCGAAACGCCAGCCCGCCGGGCGCCGCTCTCCTCGCCTGGCTGATCGCTCGCCCGTCCCGCCCGTCCGACCCCTCCCCTGCCTGCCGGCCGGCTCTGCGGCGCTCGTCAATCGCGGTGACGTGGTCTACATACGGGTCCCGCAGATGCGAGGGTCGTTCCGCCTCCACCCAGGTGCAGGTGTCGTCTCAGAGGGTGGGGATGTCAGCCAGGCTGTGGGCTTTCCTCCCAACTCTGCGGTTTAGCGGGTGTAGTGCTGTGGGCTTCCCGCTCACTCTGCGGTTTAGCGGGTGTAGTGCTGTGGGCTTCCCGCTCACTCTGCGGTTTAGCGGGTGTAGTGGTGTGGGCTTTCCGCCCACTGCGGCTTAGCGGGTATAGTGCTGTAGGCTTCCCGCTCACTCTGCGGTTTAGCGGGTGTAGTGCTGTGGGCTTTCCTCCCAACTCTGCGGTTTAGCGGGTGTAGTGGTGTGGGCTTCCCGCTCACTCTGCGGCTTAGCGGATGTAGTGGTGTGGGCTTCCCGCTCACTCTGCGGTTTAGCGGGTGTAGTGCTGTGGGCGGGATGCCATATGTCCGGCTATAAATCGCGATGAGTGAGCCGGCTGATGTTGCCTTTTGCTTAGTATTTCCTGTTTCGGATGGGTGCGAATTAACTGCATGAAAAACAGGAATTCTGTGTCATGCAATGCTATTTTCTTGGGCAAGGTTGTTCTTCACAAACGACCTGCGCTATCAGGTGACCGCCCGTGGGTCGAGTCATATATGAGCTGATGCGTAAAACCTGTCAAAACGTGTTTGGACCATGGTGAACATTTAACAGGACCAAGCTGTTTTGGGCTCTTTCGAGCGGTTCGTGCTGTGGAAATGTTTGTGTTCTCGGCTGTCGATATTGATTCAGGTGGATCCCTCCCAGACGGTGATCTTGTGACTCATTCTGTAAAGCGTAGCGAGTCCTTTCGTCTAGACTATGCTTTCAACCACCATCCAGAGGTGGTTATGGTATTCGTATCACTCAAGCGATTGGCTCCTTCACCAATTCCTTCCTCGTTTCAAATTAGGCGCCTCACGTCAGACTTAAGAGAGACTTGACGCATGTTTGCTGCCCCTGTATTCCCCACGCAGGCCAGCGACTGCTGGATGATGCCCGCTGCGTTGTCCGGGATGGCCTCGGGCTGCGTGAGCTGCGGTCCTCAAGTCAAGGTCGAGCTTGAAGGTCGAGTGGGTGACTCGACAGGGCCGGGCGGCAGCAGCGGCACGCGGCGCGGGGTGGGGAGGGCGGCTCGGAATTACGTCAAAGGCGTAGCCTGCATTCCGATAGCCGGTGGCAGGCTTGTTGCAGGCCATAGTTGGCTGTGATGCACTGAAGAGAGTCGTGGGCCGGCCGTGCCGCTGCTAGAGTGAGCGATCCGAGCGGATGGCGTTTAACAGCGGTCGTCATTACCTCAATGGCAGTGATGTTACCACGACCCGCATGGGGTAAGCGTCATACTGAATTACGGCGTCACTTGTGAAAAGCGGATGGTACCACTTATGTGCATAAATGACTGTACTCAGCCCAATTCATGTTTGGAGAAGATCGCATGATGGCTCTCAATTAGCTTGTCTGTTATAAGACGGTCCACGGTGTTTATTGAAGTGACCCCCCGACACGTGCCCTTTGCAAACAACCGCACGCTTCGAGCTTCAGTTGAGCGAAGGCCCATATGCGTGGTTGCCAACTGCGAGGCCTTCCACGCGCGGGCGGCTCTGGGTCGTAACCGGTACCCGTGGGGCAGCATGCCGAACATGCCGTCCACGCCAGGCCCGCGGACGAGATCGCTGCGTGACTCGCCTACATTCCCTCAGCTGACCGACATTCCTGTGACACTTCTTGGTGACTTGTGTGTAATCGCAATCATGGCCGTGGTTACGTCTCACACTAGCCCGAACCGCTCCAGTGACCGTGCAAGTCTCAATCCAGTAATCTCGTGTCGCGATTTCTCGATATGGTGAGCGATTATCCAATATCGTACAGTACCCGGTCACTGGTTTGCACCTAGGCACCTATCAGAAAAGATGTTCCGAACATTCCGTTCAAGGGCTACATCCGTGACGTCCCGGCCCGCTTTGCGTGCATTGCCCCGCCCCTTCTTGGGGCGACTGACGGGGCGGGGGGGGGGGAGGGGGCTAAGCTGTCCCGCGCTCCATGTAGCAGTATGTTGGCTGGTGGCAGCGAGTGTGGGTTTTGATCCAGGACAGTGCTGGACGCCGGCGCCGCTGTTTCATTATTCAGGGCGAGCCGCTCGCCGGAATGCGTTGAGCGGGTGGAGCCCGGCGCTGAGCCGATGGAGCCCGGCGCTGAGCGGGTGGAGCCCGGCGCTGAGCGGATGGAACCCGGCGCTGAGCGGGTGAAGCCCGGCGCTGAGCGGATGGAACCCGGCGCTGAGCGGGTGGAGCCCGGCGCTG